CCCCGGCTCCCTGCGGGCTCGGGCCGGTGTCTTCCGGCGTCTGGAGATAAATACATACGCTGACGTCAGAGATTAGACGGGGGCGACCTTGCTGTCGTCACCCTGCTGTAGTGCAGTGGCACAGGCAGGTTCTGTCAGCTGAGGAATGGGTTTGGGTCCGTGGTTTGACCCGCGGTAGTTTTTAAACATCTGGTCGGTGCTGAGACAGCAAAGGCCTCACTGATGTTCTGTGGGATTTGATTCTGGGAGTTGGTGGGAGCTCGTCGCCAAGCTGAGGGCTTGCTTGGGTTTCAGTCGTGAGATGAACGAGATGCGAAGGACGTTTGTGAATTAAATAGTCTGCTTTTAATATACATTGGATTAAGAATGCCTATATATTTTCATGTTAGTGCTTCTGAAAGAAAAATAAATGATCCGGAGTGCTTTGCTTTGGCACGAGTGCCAGGCATCGCTGTCCGCGTGTCCAAATACACAGCGTGGCTGGCTGGAGGGTGAAACTTAAAATCGTGTTTTCAGGTGCCTTTTAGCGTTTCTGTGGTTGTACATGTGTCTAAAAAAACCTCAACCCTTTCTTTAAAGGCTTGAATTCACCCGCACAATGCTTATTTTTAATAAAATAATGAAAGTGAAAGGCATCTAGAGAGGTAGTAGATACAATTTTAAACATGTCTGTCTGGTGAACCTGATGTGTAAAAGAACATGTCATTTGCAAATATTAGAAACTTTTGCATGAAAGTATAATTTTAACATTAATATCGAATTTTCAGTTTAAGAGAGAACTTCGAGTTTTGGAGCCAGGGTGCAGACTGTTGATGAGATTGTCTTCAGTGAAAGTATGTACACAAAGATGTTTCAGTGTAACTATAAAATTATTTGTAATTTTACAGGAGCAGTTTAGTGTTACTGTGTGTGTTTGTGCTACCATAGCTTACATGTTAACAAAAATTCTGCAAGGAAAAGGTTTGGTTTTTTCTTTGTTTTCTTTTCCAAAAAATGATTCTAGGCTTAAAGCACAAGGTTTGGCATTTTAAAATAGGAGGTCTAATTGTACTTTGCCACATTGTCTGCATGGCTTTTGGCAAATTATTTAACTGGTATGTTAATTTATTTTCCTGTAGAATTAATATTTTCTGTGTCAGGCCACATGCTTGACCAAAAGGTAAATGAATAGCTAATCTTACATCTTTTAAAACAACATTACTGCCACTTTTGAAAGTGGGAAGAATTGAGAAAACTAGACAGATTACAAAGGCAGAAGAGCTGTCTGGACTTTATTTAGGTTTTTTTTTTTTGTTTGGTTTGTTTAGATCATTGTCTTATGATCAAAGACAGTTGTGCCCACCCATGTTTTGGAGGCCAAGGGTTTTGATTTTAGGGGGCCATTTTTAGAGTACATGCATCTTTTCAGGTGGGTAAGGAAGAACCATCAGTTTGGAGCTTGTAATCTCTTTACAGTGTGCGTGTGTGTCTCTCTCTGTAATCCAATTTGGAAAACCTGTTTGAATTAGAGTATAAACGTGAGAACCCTTTGTCTCAACCTGCTTTCAGAATGAGCCTTTTACTTTCTGGGGACAGTTATTCAGAGTTCTTTATTCTTGCTTTCACGCACCTTGTAGTTTTTCTCAGAGGGTAGTGATAAAGTACATTAGTGTACTTTAAAACGAATTGTTGTATCTTCAGAACACAATATGCCAGCAACAATACCTATTCCATTAGGAAATTTATGGAGGCTAAGAAGAATCAAAAGGACTAAAAGGTGAGCCTGGAAATGAAGTAGTCTTCGTGAAACAGAATAGAAGAAAATGCTTCAGCCATTTAAAAAAAAAAAAAAAAGAAAAGTATGGTAAACTAGAATGTGCAATTGATTTAATAGGAAATTACTATTTTCACGAAAATTAACATTATCTTTTTGTGTTTTAGAATCAGGTGCTGTTTTCACATTTGGAAGAAGCAAATTTGCAAAAGATACTCCTAGCAAGTTCTGGTTCAAAAACGATAAGCCTGTACATATGTCATGTGGAGATGAACATACTGCTATTGTTACAGGTCAGTATTGTAAATGGAGTATATGATGAAAGGTTATACATTTGGACAGCTTGGAAAGTTGTGATTCTTACCTGAATCCTGAGGCAATATATCAAATGAGGTTGTGGAGGGAGGAGGGGACTGTTCTGTAGGGACTATCAGATGTGTTTGAAATTAGTGTGAGGTCACCAAAGGTTTTCATGAGACATGCCCAAGAACTGTAATGAGGGAATCTATAATAAATGAATGTATCACACTATTTAAAGTAAGTATGACTTTGTTCAGCTGGAATGCTTTTTTGTGAATCTGTCAATGTTTAGTAGACAATCTTAAATATAGAGATTTTTATTATGGAACAGTATTGTTTGAACACAGTCAACAAGCTCACAAGAATCTGCCTGAAACAATAGATAAAATTTTATCTCTGAAATGAAGATCTGAATTACTATTAACTGTCAACTAAAAATAACCCTTGAAAGAGCAACTCAGAAAACTTCAGAAAATCCTACTAAAATCAGAAATAAATTGTAAAAGCACTAAGATGCAATACAGTGAGCAGTATTTGTGTTCATTTTCATTTGTTTGATGGTGGAAGCAATACTCATTGAAGAATTTATTAAATTTATTTTACATGGAAGGGATTACTCTTTTGTTGATGAGCACGTGTGTCGATTGTATTGACAGTCAACTGCTGATATAGATAATAAGACTTTGTTATGAAATTTATATGCATGTTTTCAGGACTTTTTTTTTTTATTGGGATGTATTTATTCCTTATCAATGCCCAGTTGGTCATTGCTCATTAAATAATTTCTTGAGGGTTTCTTGCTGTGTCCCCAAGCAAAGTTGGAGATGCTAGATGAACAATTCCAGGTATGATAAAAGAAGAGTATAGACTTAATGGACTACAGAACATCTTGAAGTGAAATTATACAATGTATTTTTCAAGCCTAACTTCATAGAAGATGAATTATCCATTAATAGTTTACGTTTTGAACAGAACTTGACACTTGGGTCCTTCACAAACTACTCCAATGTGAGTCCTTCCCACAGGCCGCAGTTCTCCACTAACTGCTCAATCGTGGGTCCTTTCCATGGAGTCACGGCCTCCTTCAGGCACAGCCTCTTCTTCCAACCTGGGATCCTGCACAGGCTACATCTCAATAAGCTGCAGGCGAGCTGTGCTCTCTATGGGCTGCACAGGGACAATGTGTGTCACCATGGTCTTCACCACAGGCTGCAGGGGAATCTCTTCTCTGGCACCTCCTGCTCCTTCCTCTTCACTGACCTTTGTGTCAGTGTAGTTGTCTCTCTCACGTCCGGCTCCTTTCTCTGCTGCAGGTTCTTTTGCTGGCTCCTGAGAAACGCCTGGGTCTTGCGCGGGGGCTGTGCTGGATCATCTGGGCGAGGGCAGTGCAGCAGAGGCTGGCCGGGCAGCAGGCAGGCAGCTGGATAGACCGGCCAGGCTGGGCCCTGCCCGGGGCTGCACCCTGCCTCCATGCACTGCACCCCCTCTTAAATAAGTCATTTGCAGAGGCACTGGCTGGCGCAGCCTTGGCCAGAGGCGGGTTCGTCTTGGAGCTGGGGAACTTCCAGCAGTTTCTCACAAGGACCATCTCTAGTCCCTCCCCTGCTACCAGAACAGACTTGGAGCTGGGGGAACCTTTAGCAGTTACTTACAGGAGCCATCACTGTAGCCCCTCCCCTACTACGAAACAAAACCCACCACACAAAACAACACCACCATTTCACTGTAATAGTGGCCACTTAGATAAAGCTTTTCAGTAAGTCAGTTCACGTAGGTTTGCGTGCAGCACTGTTTCTCTAGTAGTTTCCATTCTCCCTGTCATTTTAATATATACAGCATATTTCAAAAATGTCTCTATAGCTGGCTTTTGCTGTTGTAGTGTGCAGATATATCACCAGGGAAACTTCTATATAATAAGATCTTTGTTTCCTCAAAGTTTTTGAGGAGAAGGAACTGTAGAAGCATGTGTATAAAATTTCTTTGGTACTAAAAGGTTTTTTGGGACATTGTAAAGTGGAGGCAAAAGTGAGGGTGAAATACTGATCAATAATAAGCGAAGGTGAGAAACTGTAGGAGTCATACACAAAGGTGAAGAAGGGAAACAGAAAATCTTTGTCACTCTTTGTTCGTCACACCTCTGCATGACCACATGCCCTGCACATTTCTGCTGTTAGAAGGAGTTGGATGGTACAGTGGAATTACAGCCCTTGGTGAATGGCATTGAACAGCAGTTACACCTGGAATAAATGCTCCAGAAGAGCATGCTGATAATGAGTTTACTGAGAAGGGTGCAGACCTTGTGGAAAACCAGGAGCTTCCTGTAGTCCATCTGAACCTGACCTTGAAGAGATAAAAGGCAAACATCACCAAGGAGGAAAAAGTATCTCAAGCAGGTGTGTGTTAATGCATGCTTCATTTTATTTTCAGTCTTTATTTAGAGGTCCCAAAATTCCCTGTTCCTTTTTTTTTTTTTTTCCTTTCCCCTGGAAGAGGTTTCCAAAGCCTGCAGTTATAAAAGAAGTCATGGGGCTTATGTTTGTAGGGGACAGTGGGAATGTGAGGTAGATTCAAATCTAATAGAAATATATCAGTTTTACACTAACATGTCTCATCAATTGTAAGTAAACAATCACCCAAACTGACACAAAACATTCCTTAAATCTGGTTTTGGACAGAAGAGGCAGATACATCTAGCACTGAATCTTGAGTGAATGCAGATGAAGAAAATGTACAGAAACTAATATTTAGCATTCAAACAAAATATTAAGAAATTTTCAAATACTTCATTTAATCCAGCATCAATATTCCCATATGACTTTTAGAAAGAAAAGTGTAAAGTAAATACAAAACACTGGTCCTTGGCTTTCTAGGTCACGAGTTCACACACACGGTCAGTCCATCACGTTGTCTCTGCTGCTTCTTCTTCCTCAGGGAAGGACTTCTCACACATGAGGCATGTTAGTGTAAAACTGATATATTTCTATTAGATTTTAATCTATCTCACATTCCCAATGTCCCCTACATACATAAGCCCCATGACCTCTTCTTTTATAACTGCAGGCTTTGGAAAGCAATTTATTCATCCTATTGGGAGTTGTTGTGAAATTACATCATATTTTTAAAATTTCCTCCCAATACCTTTCTATTAATTTTCTTTGCTACAAAACTCTTGAAGTTAATAGCTGTCTTATAATTTATTTGCCTTGATTAGAGAATCCTAGGCAGCTTGCCCACATTTGATCAAAGAGACTGATCCTGTTCACAAGGGGGAAAATGGTGATGATGGAAGATACATTTTCTGAACTCAGAGCTCTGGAGAGAGTTGAAGCCCTCAGTGCAAGAGGGTAGAAGGAAGGAAAGAAGTATCAAGTATAAAAGTAGGAGTAAAAAGAGGTGCAGACGGAACCACAACAAGATAGTATGCTCCTAATTTCGAGTTTTGTAAGACATTAAACATTTGACAATTTACACCAAAGAGGCCTTGGAATCTCACCAGGTCTTTGGGTACCAGATTCCTCCTATTCCTTCTGCCTACCAGCAGGCCATTAGAACATGACCCACTATCTGTTCCATCAGCTGCAAGGGGAAAATAAAGAAGATCAGTATGTGTTTGTGTTCATCTTTGATATGCTTAGGAGCGAGCAACATACTGCACTGTTTTCGTTTGTGTGGTACTAACTATCCTAAGCCTGACTGTTTTTAATGCTCAATAAAGCTTTTATTTTGAGAATATTGTGACCTACCTAACAAAACTGATGTCATTCCCATTTTCATGAGATGCATATGAATTGTGTATGAATTGTAAATGATATGTTAACATACTTTATTCACAGAATAGCACAAATAAATACAAAAAAATCATGGTGCCTGGCATATTTATGTCTAAAATATTACCTTCTAAGTTTTCTTCAATTATAGCTTCTCACCAGAATCTTGTAATAATTGCTCAAAGTCTGTACATTGTCTTCCCATTTTATTTTCTTCCCACACTAGTATAATTTAGAAAGCAGGGGGGAGAATATGTAAAACATACCTTTAAACATAGGTGATAGGAATAATTGGCTGCCTGGAATTATCATGAAGCATGTTGAGGATCTCAGCTGGTATTTCGCAGCTGCTGGATAAATGCTTTTAGTAGCGCTTCATGAACCAGAGGAGCACATGGCAGATGGGGTTCCCAGGAATCAGGATTGTGATAGCAGCTGCTTGTATGAGAAATGTACTGGTTAGGATACACTCTCTTCCTGAAATCTCTCACAAAATCCTCTGTCCCTAAAGATGTAAGTATCCTGTGGGTTCCTTAATAACCCTGAGTTAATGTTGGTGAAACATCTGCGGTGATAAGCCAATGCATGCATACTTTGGAGAAATACTCTAGTCTTGCATCAGGATGAAGGTAGAGACTGGTGTGGGAAGTATGTTTTTGTCACTAAAACAGTCTTAGTAGTAGTCCCTTTCTTTCTGTCTTTGTGTTTCCCTTCTGCTGCCCAGAGTCATAATCTTACTCTGCCGGAACTGTCTTCTGCCAGCCGTTGCAGATGGCCACAGTCTCTGTATGTCAGCACCAAAGTGGAAGAAAAAAGACAAGAGCAACCTGAGTTTGCGAAGTTGAATTAGTTCTCACTCCAGTGCATCTGTGCTGATGACTGGAGCTATCTCAGTATGCAATTACAAAAATAGGGCCTTTTGCATACAAAATTTTGTTGTGTTTCCTGACAGGTCTGTTCCAAAACCTGATTTGCTGTACAGACCCAGAAATGTTGCTTCATTACAGGCGTTTGTTTAGATTCCTCTGTAGTGCTTATTAGTTTTCATTCACTGTCTGAATTACCTGCTTCCTAGTTTTCTTATTTTCTGTTGCATTGCTAAGTGTTGGAAGCCTGAAATTATAAAAGGCTGTCAGTTGTAAAAAAATTCCTCTCATCTATTAAGCTCCTTGACTTATAAAGCAATGCCTGAGAATTTAAAGACTGGTATAAGAAACAGCAGATTATAGGATGAAAAGCATGACCTGTTGGAATTCTGCATGGATGAAAGAGAATATGCTTAAATTGAATTATGGCAGCTTGGCATCATATTCCCACAGGAGTACTGCTGTCTTATAAAGGCAGTTAAAAAGTATAAACCAAGGATATAATGATGTGTATACTGTTATAGGATTCCATTTGCTAGTAGCAATTCTTTCTGTTAAGGTGCATTTTTCTCTCAGTGACAGACAGCTCTGCATGTGTTTTGACATGATTGCATTATCAAAATTGGGATGGTGATATAAATGCTATTAGTAAAAAACCATGAGCATAGACTTGACCTCAGACTTTCTTCCCTTCCAACTTTCTTGGAAAGACATAATATTGACACATAGCCCCATGTTCCAAAAATTGTAAAATCTAACAGTTTGATTGGGACTTTAGATACTCATTATTGGTGGTGGTGGTTTATTTTTTTCTTAACTATGTGGTTTTATTTAAGAAAAATATTTTTTAACAGAATATTTTTGTTTATTTCAAACATTTCAATATCGTATTTCAAATCTCTGTAAATCACATTCAGAACTTTCACTGGGAACCTATGCTACTGAAGTACAAACAGCCATAATATTTTGGTATTATTATGTGGAATTGCTGTGATGCATTGTGATCCTGTCATAATTGTTGATGGCTAGGGTGACAAAGTTTATTCATGTAACAGCCTTGTGATGGAACCTAACTCACAAAGCTCTGCAGACCATCATAAAGAATAAACAAACACCTTTTAACAGCTGTGAAAAGGGTGTTTTTTTCTGGTTTTTGTTTCTATTTTTTTGCAAATATTTCTGTTGGAGCAAGGGTTTTGTCTTTGGGTGTGAGCTTCACAGCTTTACAAAAGGTGGTAGTTAAAAAAATTAAATTAAATTAAATGGATTCCATTATCCATTTATTATCAGTATTCAGTTTTGGCTGTCTGATTTGCGTGCCTGATGACAAAAGTTTCATCTACTCCTAAACCATCCTCTTAAAAAAATAGTAGTTATTTTTATTATTTATTATATTTATTATTACAAGAGTTCGTTGTTTGTAATGGTCAAACCTGCAAGTTCATGCCAGTTTCTGAAATATGGTTCTAGCATTGCTTCTGTTGAAAATTTGTAATCTAATGTTTGCATTTAAGATTAGAAAACTCCCTGGCTGCATGGTGTTCATATACATTCCTTCTTTATATGCAGAGTACCAAATTTGTGAACACATTTGAAAATTTATCAGAAACTATGTTCTATAGAAGTGCAAATTTGTAAATCATTTTAAGAGAAGACATTTAGCGGTGAAAGAAATAACCTCCCCCAAATAATAAAATTAGCTGAATATTACAAATTTGTGTTTGCATTAATTGTATAGCTGCATTATTCAGTCCTGTCTTTGGGGTAAAAGATGTAGGTGCTCAGTTAAATGTGCTGTTACTTTATACGTAGGCCTATAGATACTGTGGTTTCTGAACCACAGAGTCTGTCCAAGAGTACAGCATTTTATTTTCTGAAGAGCACTTTTGTCTGTGCTGTAATTAAAGGAGAGGATGCTTGTTCTCCTTTTTGTCCCATCTTCTGCCTGGTGATTTCTTTCTTAAACAATGTAGTTACCACTTTTGTACTGAAAAATCACAAGGACATTAAATATTGCTTAAATGTAAGTATTGAATTGCCTAATCATAAACCTTGCATTAAAAAGGAGGTAATAAATAGCATAGTGTGTGAATGACCATCTTGTCTTGTAAGAGGTATTCAGACACTTGCGTGGATTCTGACTGTGCATTTTTTTCAGAGAATGGTAAACTATACATGTTCGGCAGTAACAACTGGGGCCAATTAGGACTAGGATCAAAGAAAACTGTCAACAAACCAACATGTGTTAAAGGTTTGTTCAATTTTTCTTTTGTCTTTTTGAAATGTGACCCTTTTGAAAACGGACTTTACAAGATGCAGTTCGAAAGTAACTGATTCTGCCTGATTACTCATCGAATATAGCGTATTACTGCACAAGCTCATAAAGGTAGCTTTAAAGGATCCATGACTGATTTTCCATCAGTTCCAGACTCTGGGTCCTTTTGTGTCTGAAGATTACTTCAGATGCATAGAATCCTGTCTTTTTTGAGGGCACTCATTTTATGTAATATTTGCCTTCTCTGACAAACCACATCTTCATTGTGACTGCAAAGACATTAATCAGATGCTTGGTCTCTTCAGTGTTGTGTGTGCGTTAGAAATCAGAGTTCCAACAGCACTGTGTAACCTTTGTATCACTTTTGTTTTAGCCCCTTTATAAATGAAAAAAATCTATCAGGGACTTTCTACAAGTACCACTACATTTTTGGCAAGTGTAAGAAGTGCCCAAGGGGACATAAATGTTAATATATTTGTATGAAGCAGTAAAATAAATGCCCATATTCTTTCATGTGTTATAAAATATGTTTTCATTACACTGTTACCTTCTTGATATTTCCTAGCCAGTTTTATCTTGTCAAACAAAACTAAGTCAATACTTTTTCCCTATCTTCCTAATTATGTCAAGTCAAATCTATCCCATTAACACATTTGTTTTCCCCATTAAGTGTTCATCTCACCCTTTCTGCCAGCAGATTGGTCTGTTAGCTTATTGTTAAAAGCAAATTATCCTGATTGTTAAAACTCCTGATTTAGTTTATTCTACTGTCCTTTATTTGCTCCTCTCTCCATTTCACTTCAGAGGGACAATGCAGCTCCTCTCAGGTTCACATCTTCTGTCAGCCATGTGAGAGATTGATTCTTACCTTGGCTTAAATGGATTGGGTATCAAGTTTTGTTTTTAATGTCAAATTGCAATGGAGAATAAACGATGAAGAGGAGATGACAGCAATTCAGACCAGACCTGGCATCCACGAAAGAGAGTCACAAGGGGAGTATCCTTCTTCCCTTGGCAATAGGCAGCAGGAGAAAGTCCTGGAGCTTTTCTCACTAGGTTTCAGTCATCACTTGGCTTTGAGAATGGGATTGGAAGGACACATTTCAGTTTCTACTTGGGGCAAATGGTTGTGGCTGCATGTTTTCAGAGAAAATACCTTTTGGGAGTTGACTAGAGACCAATGAAATTGGTTATGAAAAATTGCCAGCAATGTTGTAATGTATTGCATGGCTCATCAAATACAATAGATTAGCTCGAGTGGGAGGAAGGTTAGGGAGCACAGGCTTCTGAAGAGCTGATTAAGATCGTCTCTGAAGTTGGAAGCAAGTTTTGCAATATAAAGCAGCAGGAAGAAGCCTAAATTGGAAGTGTTATGGTTCCAGCCATAGCAGTAGGTGTCAGGATAGGCAGGAACCTGAATTTGGACAATTTGTGTTTGCGTCTGTGTGATAGATCAGAAACAGTTCATGCTTAAGTAGATAGATTTATTCAGTGACTTGGTAGAAGGTAGAAGTGGCTTTAATTTGAATGTAATGGAGCCGATGAAAGTTGGTTTGGAAGAACTGAAAAAGGGTTTGTGAAAAGTATGATGGTTGTTGGCTTTGTCATGGACTAGTGCAGTGGAAAAGCAATTGAAGATACATTGTGTAAAAATACTGCTGGTTTAGGAGCATTGTATAGGGCACATGTACGTGGCTGAGAGAAGATAAATTGGCAACAATCAGTAATTGGAGAGAGGATTGAAAAGTCAGTGAGATTTTCTCCCTCTGTTTCTGGAATGGAGTGCACTTGCCATGGGAGAAAGTCACCTCTGTTCTCTCTTTTCCACCAAAATAACTCTTGACTCCTCTTGCATACGTGCCCAGTCTTCCACAGTTACCAGGCTGCAGAGAAGTACGTGAAATGGGTGGGTGGCGATTGAGCTGAAATCAAGATGGGGTGATATATGCAAAATCTATTATTTTAGGCACTAGTCCAGATAGGACTGTCCTTAGCAATTGAGTTTAGTGTTCAATAAGAGGGCAGAACTGAGCAAAAGTCTAGCAAAAGAAGTAGCTGTGCATAGTGAAGGAAGATAGGGATGATAAGACAAAAGAATGATATGATTTTAAATATTTAAGATAGTGGGGAAAGCATAAGAGTGAGTTAAGAATAGTAGTGTTAATGAACACTGAAGGTGGCTCTAAGCATGCCTTTTGTCCTGCAACTCAAGATATTCTTTGAGGCATATCCCATAAATGGTAAATTCTGGGGAATGTGATATTGGGGCGAAGTAGCCATCATCAAGTTAACCTGAGTGTCAACTATAAGTTTTTAAGGTCTATATCTGTTTTCCTGTCTTGGGGGAATCCTGATTTGTTAAGTCATGTGCTAGGTTCAAATGGGCAACGAACCTTGTAATCATTCTGTTGGTAAAAATACGAAAAAAAAATCAGAGCTCCCTCTAGAGCATAGAACATTTTGTTGTTGAACCGGCTATCAGCTTGTTTGTAACTTTTCCCCCACTTTGGCTTTAATTTATAGCTTTAAAACCAGAAAAAACAAAACTTGCTGTTTGTGGAAGAAACCACACTTTAGTTTACACAGGTATGTAACCTATGTTATATACATATTAAAAATAGATCTCTTCCTTTGCTTTCATGCAAAATTACATTAGGAACCCCAGGAGTGTTGAGGAAGAAAAAATAAATGAAAATGGGTTTGTTAAAACTTGTATTTTTGATATCCAGTTCTTTGAATGCTTGATTTATTCTGAGCCAATGCATTTATAAAACAGTGTTACATAGGAGTTTGCTAGCAACAGACAGATGAAAAAATGTGTTGCTGGTATTTGCAGTGTGGTTAACAATTATCAATATTTCATTTAAGCCCTGTAAAGGTATATTAGTATTTTTGATATATCTGTACTCAAATTTACCTTTGACAAGTAATTTATCTTTAATAGTGTGAAGTTATATATATATTTGGATGAGTATAGTAGAACTGCATGTTTTGAAGGCTTCAAGTTTTGTTGCATTTTGGCTAGACAAGGTACTCTGCTATTTAAATGACAAGTTGCTTTATTAAGCTATAAATAAATAAACTAAATTTAAACTGAAAAAAATGTTGAGAGAGACAGTATACAGAGAATTCATGCAGACTCTTGTCATGCTTCTAAAATTTATGTAATAGCCATCTTTGTGGTTGCAATCCTTTAGTTTGCAGTAATGTTATAAAGAGGATTGTTTGATTATTAGGGGGTTTATATACATGGACACTCTGAGCACTGTAAGTAAGACTACTAAAATAGAACATTTTAATAAAAGTTGAGTACGAAAGACTGCATGGGGTAAATATTGGTCACTTCTAGTGTACATGCTGGCTAGATAATTTGTGGCCATTTATATAGCAAGGACCATTTATAAATCGTATGTCAGTTGCTTATCACATTTGTGTCTGGTTTTGTGTTATTAATGGGCCTTATGTTTTTCATCAGAGATGAGCACTTTAGATGTGAAACTCACTACAATTAAAAATACAAATCTTAAAGTTCTCTTAAGTTGAAGATATCAACAGCTTCAACTTCCATTTGAAGATTCTAAAACAAAATAAAAGACCTATTAATTAAATAGAAAGTGATTTAAATATTAAAATTAGTAAAATATTTCTAATAAAAACCTAAGGAAAAATGTATTTCATCACAGTACTTAAAACTATCAAGTTATGCATCTCTTTAATTTACATACTAATACAACTTCAGTTTTCTTGTCTGTGACATATTCACCATTTGCTTCCTGCTTTATCTTAAAGTACACATCATTTGGGAAAGGAGCTTCTTCTGGCTGCCAGGGTGACTAGTAGTCATTTTCTCAGAACTCTTGCAGAACTTCAAATGGTATTTACTCTTTAGATCAGTCTCCAGAGTAGTGGGAAATACACTCAATCTAAGTACATGTAAGGCCTTTAGAAAAGTTCTGATCCGAGTGTGTGCAGGAAAGCCTCCTTGCTAGCTGCAACAGAAACTGCTAATGGCAGCTCAGGGATATTTCAGGGCAGTAGACCCCAACTTTTCTGTAATGTTTTTCCATAGAAAATTAAATTACTTGCTCCAGTCTCTCTGACTTTTTGCTGCTTATGAGAATGTCTTCATTCTGTGTATTACATGTGCTTTTCTGTATGCAGAAAAAGGAAATGTGTATGCTGCTGGAGGTAACAGTGAAGGTCAGTTGGGATTAGGTGACACAGAGGAAAGGACCACATTTCATTTAATTAGCTTTTTTACTAACCAGCACAAGATCAAACAGCTAGCAGCTGGATCATACACCTCAGCAGCAGTAACTGGTAAGAGCAACTGCTAGTAAAATCTATTTATGTGTCTCTGGCCCGGTGTTCCAGGGAAACGTTTATTCCATCATTCTCTCCGCGTATGTGTGTGTGTTTTCTCTGCCTCCCTGTGTTCTTAACCTAGTAACCATAGTAATTTTTTCATTGCCAATTCCCTACTTTGACAGAGAGTAAGTTTGGAAGAATGAGAAAGTGGTGACTTGCTACTAAAAATGAGAAGATGCCTTAAATTCACTGTAATATTTCCATGCTGACCTCCAGCAACTGATTCGTCTTATGGCCTTAGGCTTCCTCTTTTTGAAGGAATGTTTCTGCATAGTACTTTCACTGTTGATGTTTATGTCATCAACATTAGTTGATGACTAAGTGTTCTGTGTCACTTTTGGAAAGCTTAAGGGATTCCCTCTTACTTCAGACTGTTTTATTGCATTGTGTTAAATACTATTTTATGTCCCTGAGGTAATGCCATTTAGTAGTGTCAAACACAGAGTTTATGAAATGCTCTTGAATGGGTAGATTAACATTTTATTAGTTTTTGGTTTTTAATCCGTTAACTATCTGTGTCTTCATTTTAGAGGATGGGCAGCTTTTTGTGTGGGGTGACAATTCGGAAGGTCAGATTGGCTTGGCTAATGAAGCCTCTGTCAATGTCCCTTGTCAAGTGGATGTTGGAAAACCTGTTTCCTCTGTATCCTGTGGATATTATCACTCTGCCTTGATAACGGGTAAGAGAACGGAATAGTGGTTAGTGGAGACAAGTCAGTGGTTTTCAAATTGTTGTCTTTGTAAAGGTAGCTAATGGGGCATTCATTACTTTTGAAACTAGAAGTGCCACAGTTGTTAAAAACTGCCATGTGGCAGACGGTTGTCTTATGTAGTGTTGTATCACATTTGGAGATTTTATCAGAGACGAGTTCTCTGTAATGTGGTCCTAATTGATTTATTTGTGAAAATTGTATGCAGTCTACTATATAATTGTTTATTATTGTTGAATTAACAGTAGTATGAGAAAAAACTGCAGTTAATTTTCTGCATTTGCACGTTGTTGTGCAAAAGTGTATTAGAAAGAGTGACTATCTTATCACAGTTTATTTTAATGAAAGTTATGACAAATGTGTGTTAATTCTATGGTTTCAAGAATCCAACTTTATTATTCTTTTTTTTGTGATTTCATCAAGATGGACTAAAGCAAAATTTGTGCAGGATTTGCAGACACTAAGGCTGAAAATTAAGATTATTCTTTTTTTTGTGATTATCAAATATTCATCTTTATTTTCTCTAGAAATATGAAATTGTATAGACTTCCTATGTTTTGAGGAAGAATTAATCTCACTTGCTAGCAGTACAAGATTGTTGTGAAAGTTTGATGTTATGTCTTAAGTTATGAAGTCAGCTAAACAGGCGGTGTATAATACGAAGAGAAGCATACGCTACACTGAGCTAGTGTCTGATCTCCAAACCAACCCACCTCTCTGTTGCTTTCAACCTCTCTTCCCAGCTGTTGTTTTCCAGAGTGATGATGACAATCATTTTTTAATAGTGCCAGTATGGGTGAATTTATCAGTCAGTACTGATGGTATTATGTATCAGCCACCATGAATTCCTCTCTGACATATGGATTTGCATTATTAAGCTTTACAGTTTAGTCCCCTCAGAGTAATTAAGGATTTCAAAGAATCTGTAGTTTTGATTGTAAAGCTTTTAATGGGTACACAGGAACTATTCCATCAGATACTTTTCTCAGATTACTTGATAAATGTTACTTCTCTGAGAACATGCTGTTAACAGAATGAGAGCTTCCTATGGTGGACAAATATTAATTAGGTGTTATTCTGGTAGTGTGCAACTGTTATTACAAATGTTTTATTACAGTGAATGAATGAAGTGCCTCTAATTGATCAGCTCAGCAGCTGTTAGGAAATACAGTTTCCTGAACTTGAATTAAATGAAAAAAAAAAATAAAAGAAAAAGATCCTTACTTCATGGATTTAGTAAAAAGGTGTGTATTTCTGCCTTAGAGCCAAAAGCTGAAGCTCTGACAAGACTACACTGGGATGTGACAAAAGCTCTCATTAGAAGAAAGGCTCAGGACAAGCATCTGAGAACAAGAAGAGAACAGTGTGCGCCAAGTGCTCTGAGGAAGTGGAAACTTTTAATGAGGGGGGATGAGAAAAAAGATTAGGGTAGCAGCTGGGTAAGAGAAATTCAGCTTCTTAAAGTATTAATAAGAAGATGAACTGGTTATCACCTGTGAAAATCGGGAGTTTTGAACCTGTTACTGTTTGAACAGGCCTGAGTGTCAGATGGAAAATCTTAATTTTCAGCCTCAGTGTCTGCAAATCCTGCACAAATTTTGCTTTAGTCCATCTTGATGAAACTATTGACATGCATATGGCCTCTTCTGGGGTAGGAGAAGTATCTCTTCAGATACTTCAACTGCCATAGAAATTTATTGTTGTATATCCAGGTACTTTTACTGAATTGATCCTCTGTTGCACTAGTGCCAGTGTTTATCCGGACAGTGTTTAAAAACAAAGCTTATGCATTTAATCTAAGTGTACCAAAGTCACACATTATTTTAGCTATGAAGTTAACCATTAAATTACTAATTTGGAAGTTCAGCAAGCTGAGTCTGTTTGAGTACAAATGTAGTTACCTTACTTTTCTTGCAGCAGAGTTAGGAAGGAAGCCAAGGCACAATGCTTTTAAAAGATTTTGCTTAAAAAATATGATTCTTTTAGTATTGTTATGATTCTTTTTTCACTTATAGAAAACATTTGCCTGTAGGACTTGCTAGACTGGCTCAGAACAGTGGTTCACGTCCTCAGTATTCTGTGAGGGGAGGAAGAATATAGCAAACTAGATAATTATGGGGTATTTGGAATACTCGTATTACAAGGAGTATTTGGAGTATTCAGATTACAAAGAGAGAGGTTTTTCCTCCGAAATGCCAGTTAGTCATTGAATTATGCCTTGAAGTATGTTTAAAAGCTTGCCTAACACAGAGAGTTTTCCATGTATTTTTACTGTATGATTTTATCTTGTATACTAGAATTTTGAGTGATTAGTGTTATTTTTAATACATACTTTTGGAGGAAATATCTGGACAAGAAAGTGGTTCTGTATTTCCAGAAATTAAATCTGAACTGTTCGGGTGAGTGTACCATCTGTGTTAATTCCCTCAGCATCAATAAAGTATACCAGAGGACATTTTTTAGATTATGGTTGCTGTTACTATGGAAGAAACGGGAAAAACACTGTTAATCTTTCTATTATTTCTATTTCAACATCTGTAACTTCTCAGTTATTTGAATGCTATAGAATTACTACATTTTGACTTCTTAAACATGACTTCTAGATAAAAAAGCATCAAATAAAATACTGTCTTCAATAGTAAAATGTAGTTGCAGGATGTAGGACTTGGTACATGTTCCTGGGCTGAACTGATGAACATGGCAGCACATGATTCCCTTAATATGTTTACGTTTGATGTAAGCTGTGTACTGGCGGAGCAAACTGTTAGGATCACAAGCATATCTGTGTTACAACTAAAAGGTGGTTAATGAGGATACTAGAATACATAGTGTGGTCACAGAGTGCCCTCTCCAGGGCAGGATGTTCGTTAATAAGAGACTATTGAGAAAAAAGTGGTGAAGTATGGATTACAGCTTTTTTTTTTTTTTTTTTTTTTTTTTAACTAAAGTTGTTATTTCTTTGCAACAGCTGGTTTTAAAAAAGATTTTTTTTTTTGTAGGCATTTGTCTTTAAGGTGTTCAACAACTATAAAGCCAAGTGCAATATAAGTGAAAAGTAGAGTGGAATCCTGACGCAAACCTTTAGTAGATAAAAGCATATTGTATGGAAATTATATGGCATTCAATCATATGAATTTGTACTTCGATTCTATAACCCTCCCCCCGCCCCCGAATTTTCTCTTATATAGTAGTTGCAAAAAAGGTGATTCGTCACCTTTCTTACTTTTGCCTTTTAGAGTGTCTTCTTTGCAGATAATAATTCAACCACTAAACATGTCAGAGTCACCTGTACACATTTACACGTGGGCCCCACTGATGCCAAAAGTAGTTGTAGAATCGAAGAGCAGAATATATCCTGAATTATTTTTAATAAAAAATGCTTATAAAATTTAGACTAGTCACAAGAACAAGCAATGGCTAGCTAATTTCCATTAGTAAATTAGGAAGATGGTCTTGTTACTCACTTCATGTTTGAAAGATGATTGCTTCCTTTTCCCCTCACTTTGCATTCTTCAGATAACTCCACTGCAAATAAATTTTCAGTTTATATTTTCCAGCCCTCTTTAGGACTTTTTCCCAGTATCTGTTTCCTTTCTTTTCTGGTTGCAGACTTGGGATGCTAGGTCCCCTTTTTAGAGATATGTCTCAAACAAAGCAACAGAGAAAGAAAGAGCTGAGGGAGGAGTGTTGATTTTGAGTCCATGTACAAATCTTTACTTAACTTGTCTTTGGCCACCCTCACCAAGATGGGACAATTTTTCAGAAAGCATTAAACTTGGCAAGCATATATAGCTCATTTGTCCACTGGAGGAGATGGAGAGCAGGAAAAGCCAATGTATCTAACTGCTACTCTGGTGCCTAAAGCAGAATTACATTTGTGGAGCCAGAAAGGAATTGAATATATTAGACCTCTTCTGGTGTTTCCACTGCCTGAACTGCTACTGTAAGCAAGGTCAAGATAGATTCTCACTGAGAAGGTGTCTTTTCGTAGAGAGCTTTGTGGGTTCCTTGAATTCCTTTTTTTTAATGTACTTTGCTATTATTTTTAAGGACCAGTTTTAAAGATTATGCATTCCAGAAACACTTCCATGCTCAGGATTCCAGTGTTTGAGGTGGTTTCAATCAGTTTTGATCTGGAATAAATACTTCTCTCTTTTTTTTTTTTAACCTTCATTTATTCAAGGAATTGTCGAGTGACCCAGTTCTTTTGTCTAGTACCTTCATTTGGCACCACTCAGGTCTTATATCTTCTCTCTTCTGCAGTATGTACATTTGTCTTTGAGAGGCAAAGATAGTTTTCCATTTGCTTGCCTATTTCCTTGACACACTCCTGTGACCTAAAATTTAGTGATATAGGAAATGTGCCACGTTAGGGGAAGTTCAGCATGTGAGAATGTGACTCCTATGAGAGGAAAAAATTAAATAATCAGGTTCCATTGTAAACAGAATGTCCTTAAAATGCAGATGTACTCAACACATACTGTACTCAAAATTTATCTGGGTTTGGCTGAATTCTTTTTATGCTTTATAGCTATTTGTAGTTTTCAGACTACTGCCTTAAGGGGATGTGTAATGTATTCAAAAAATGCTTTAATAAATGGGTTTATCTTTGTTAGCTGGATTATTAAATTGAAAAAATGTAATAAACTTTATTAGTTTGGGAAGTCAATGGAAGCTTGGCCATTTGAATCTCTAATCCTATTAATTAGATTGTGATTGGATTAATATTTGCTGTGCAGTAGTGTTTAAAAAGAAGTGCTGGTCTCTTCAAAGGGAACTGCATAAGTAGTTAACTCCCAAGTGCTTTTGGGGGATTATCAGCTTGTTTCTAGAAATATATGGCAGATCCAAGACTGTTAAAACAATACTTACTTTCAAAAAATGCAGGGTCTTTTATTTTCACTTAAAATCCCTAATAAAATCTCTTTTTGTCTACAGAATGTTTTGGTTATACAAAGCCTGGCATCGCAGTTGATTTTTTTGTTGTTGTTAATTAGGCTACTGTTTTAGAATAGAAAATTAATGCTGCTGCAAATAACTGCAAAGTATCAGTGGCTAACACCTGTTCAGACTATTTGTGCATGTAGGTATAAGAATAAAGATCAGAACCAAAACAGAAAATCAAATTGAACAGAGAAGCTTAAACATAGTCCATAGCTTAGAAATTAAATATACTTTTCTGCAGCTGAGATCATTTGCTGTTTCTTAAAATACAGGCAGATTGAAATAACTGCAAAACACCTTTTAGAAAAGAAGTGTAGAAGAATGCAACAAGGGTATTTCTGCACAGATACCCGCAGGTAAATGAATTTTTATAGTATTATTGGGGTAGTTTGTGTGTACAAGAAAGAAAAGTCAGAATGACAGAAAAAATAGGGACAGCTGGGAGGATGGGGTTATACCTCTGATGATGGTAGTTGGGAAATACAGCTGCTATCCTATTTCATTGTCTTGCTGAAGAGAATGTAGCTCTGTGAGTAGATTGTGAGTGGCTACTCTTAATACCCTGAACCCTGTGAAACCCTCTTAATACCCTGAGCCCTGTGAAACCCTGCACAAGCTTTCCCTGTCAAGGAAAGCTTGACATTGAGAAAGATTGTATTATTGTCACTCCCTGATTGCTTCACTGTGAAGTTAGAGCATTCAGTGGCCCAGGAGCACAGTACCTGAAGAATCAGTGCTGTTGTGAAAGGTGATCTTGGAAAATATAGAAACCATATTAAATAGTCTGAGGTTTCTTTGACTAAGGCAGAGGCAAAATATCGTAGGTCGTCTGAGCTTTACAAATAAATATTGTGCCATCAAAGTTAGGTTCTAAATCTTTGGTGGAAGTGCTGGGTTGCAACTTAATGTTGAGGCTTAGGATCCATTTTCCATTTAAAGCAGGAATTCAGCTTTTATGAAAAAAATTCCTTTTTACAATTTTTATTCTTCAAGTATATCATACACTTTTTCCAGAATTTTCAAGTTAATTGATAAATTTGTGCATTTAAATTAATTTGAAGCTAAAGTATGTTAAAAAATGCGTAACCTTTTTTTTTTTTTTGTCCTGAATAAACTTCTTTAGCATAAAATAAAAAGACATACCTCACATTCCCCCTATAGTTAAAATTAATTGGAAACCTATCCTCAGGCTTCCTTTGAAGAAAACAGATCATAATTTAGACCTTGTTTGTTTTGCTTATTGTGGACTGTTGATATCAAAGGTAACATACATCATAGATCAGCTTGACTGCTCCAGAATTACTTCCTCTGAGAGGATGGGAGTAGAAGCACTACTTTCTTAAAAGACATAGTAGTTTAAGGGTTTTCAGAATGAATGAAAGCCCTTCTGATGGAAGGTCCTGGCAAAAGCAGTCTGTGCTGCTCTCTTCTGTGTACCTATAGCTGTAGTCACTCTTTAGCACAAAGTAATCAAGAGCCAACTGCCACAGAGAAAAAAGAATATATGTCACTGGCAAAAGACTTTTCCAGGAAAAACTTTTTGAATCTAGTTTATCTACTGGATTTACCAGATGGTGTAAATGAAAATGTATTACTGACTAGTTGTCCCATAGTTACACAAAATGAAGATGCAGTTTTGCAACCTGAAATTCTTGCTTAGTTTTTATTCATGCAAAAGGAAATTTTAAATCAGTGCATTGCCAGAGTGATGCTGAGGAAGATTCAATAAAAATTACACATTTCTTATGGACACCAGTTTTGACTTTCTCATTATCAGAATTAAAAATTCAGAAAGATTAAATTCCTTTCCTGTCTTGGCTTGGTATGCCCAACTTTTAATAAGCTTCAGTTCATTTTGAATCATATCCTTCAATTTTTATTAACTTGGTTTTAATAATTTGAATAATCTCATTTGCTTTTTAGAATTCATATGTAGCTTCATTTTTTCTCCTTTACATTTTTATGCATAGGTTTACTTTTAGCTCTTCCATACTTCCCTATTTCTTATTTCTGTGTAGGCTTATTTTTTTGGTCATTTCCATTGTCCTTACATTCCCAAATTTTAAGTTGTGACTGGCAAAGTGCAAGGAAGAAGCAACAAATGTAGTAGCTATGCAAATGGAGGAATATTCACAAAGGCTAACAGAAGACTACTAATAAGCTTGTTTTCTTATGCTCTGCCTGTGTTCAATGGAGAGAGGGATAGGCTTCTCTACTGATCAATTCTGAACCCCTAAATAAGGTTTCAGCTTTGAAACTTTCTTTGAGCTCATCTGTTTTCATTGTCTGTGGGGTAAGACCAGCATTTCTAAGATTAACCCAACTTTCACGTTGGCAAGGAATTGATAGCTTTTGAATGAGAATCTCTCAGATACTTGTGCATCATGCAGTAGTAATGCCTCTAAATGCTGTAAATTTGTGAACACTAAGTGTATCCCTCTGAAATTAAAAGTACATTTTGTACTGAAGTACAAACCTGCATGTTTCCAAAAATATTGCAGATGGGTGCTTCTGATGACTGAGCATTAATAATGGAATTATGTCTGGGGTTTGTTACTATGTTGACTATATAACTGTAGCTATCTCTTTGAATTTCCCTTAGCAGGCAGCTCCTATGCTAGTTTAAACATTTATTTATCTTGGACTAGCTCCATGTGAAAGTTTTGTTTATCCTTGTGCTTTCTTATATCCAACTGGGATTAAAACCCAAAACTTTTCTTCCATAATAATGTATGATGATTTTTTTTGGTAAGTAATTTTAAATTCAGATTGTGGGCTGCAATTTGCTATGAGGACACTACTCTGCAAATAATCCTTTTCAGGAGTGGAGAACACTCAGCTATTAACTTCAAGCTTTCCTGGCAGTAAGAAAACATTTCCTACCTAAACCTCACTCTGACCTATTAGAATAGATGGGGGCCCCTTAGCACAGAAAGTCATAAATGTAGATAAATTGTAAAAAAATATGTAGATAAATGTAAAAGATGTAGATAAATGTAGATAAGTTGTGAATATAGCAATGGAAAGTACATTTTACATTTTCTGTTTTTAACTATGGTAGAAGGATATATAGAATGCTGTCTTGAATGGTAATTCAGACTTAGATAGCAGTGAAAAAGGAAAGGGGGTGATTGGAAAAGATAAACCAAAGAAAACTTCCAAGTAAAATTAATTACCCAAATTTGGGATTGAACAGTTTTTGAACTGGATTCTTAAAAAGTCTGGGTGAATGAGAAGGGTGTTGTGTGATTATGTGGCAGATCAGAAAGAAGTTACAGGAAGAGATCTGTAAAGACGTCTCAGTATTTTTTTGAACTTAATTCTGGTGGAGTTATTGCTATGAAACTACTGCTGTATTGCTGTTGTTGGATATACACCTCTTTGACAGTGTCATGTAATTTACTCTGCTTTTTTTCTTTTTTTCTCTATAACTTATAAGAAGAATGTGTGGATTTACCATCAAAATTCCATGCAAAATTATTTCTATTTTAATTGAGATTCTTGCAGGCAACTTCAGTTGACATAAATACTGTTTGCAAAGGGAATTATAACCTCTCAGAAGAAGGATGAGTGGATGTTTGTTTTTTCCTTGGCTAGATTCCTTGCAGGCTAATTATTGGAGTTCTCATCTTGGAGGGGGCTAAAATTTAACCCCTTCTTGTCCCATCAAAGCAAATTGCTTTGCACAGCTGTTCGGACGTTATACAAATGTGTTCAGTTTTCCCCTAATGTTCATACACTTTTCTGTCTTACTGATCTGTGTCTGCAGCAGTCTTGACAACCCATCCTTGCTTCTGAGCGCATGCTGGAAATCCTGCTCTGTTCTGTGTTTTCACAGGAGATGGTGAGCTCTATACTTTTGGAGAACCTGAGAATGGGAAATTGGGATTATTGCCTGGACAGCTGAAGAACAATAGAGTCCCCCAGCCTGTACTGGGAATTATGGGAAAAGTTAATAAGGTTGCTTGTGGTGGAGAACACACAGTGGTGCTAACAGGTATGCAATTTAACTGGCTTAGCCCCAAAACTTAATCAGTAAACTGAATTTACTTTAAAAAATTTACATCCCACTGAAATGAAATGTGCTGTAGTGATCATAACTGGAAGACCATTGTACATCAAGGAGATAGAAATCCATGTGACAGTGCAGGCCTGTGCTGTGCTGTGCGTATAGTTTGATGTTGCAGCCTGTGCTGTGCATATCCTCTTTGCTGCAGGATAAACTTCACCAGCTAATTGTAACAGAGGAGTTTAGAGGCATATCCTGCTTGGTACCAGTGGTTATGCCACTGGCGTGTCCTTGCCTTTATCTAAAACTTCAGTAGCAAGTTCCCAGTTCCCACGTGAATGTCCTTTTTATTTGACAGTGTAAATCAACAGAGTTGTTTTGCTTGTAAGAATATCCTATACGAGCTCAAATGACTAAAATGTGGTAATCTTCCATGGATGATCCCATCCATGGGATCTGTGTAGCATGCTGTGTCTGGCTGGAGGCCTTTTCAGTTCCTCACAGCTCAGGATTCCCAGCATCTGAAGGGATACAAGATTATTGATACTGTCTTCTTTTTCTTTATAATCTTAGCTCCAATAAATAGCATTTTAGAAGATACTTTACAGAGTCTGAGTGCCTTTCTTACTGGAATTGTAACAAGCCAGCACCTCCTAGTGCAACACGGATGATTAATGTTTCTTTCCTGGAAGGAGCTTGAAAGTGGTATTGGGGGGGGGGTGGAATTTTAGAGGAAAGCTTCCATTCTGTGGTAAATTTAAATGACCTTGAATATTTAGGAATGTATTTAGGAAGTCACTTTTCAGGTAGCTGTCTGTTAATAGTGATGGAGATGCACGATCTACTGGATGCCTAAATGGATTAAATATCTCTTTGTGATACAGAATTTGAGCAGAATCTTTAGCGTACATATAAAACTACTACAGATACAGACATTCAGCATATCATACAAGTTATAAAAATCAGCAAATACAACTGTTACATATTCGTTCACAGGGTTGTATGTATAGTACTTGGAAGATGACATATGGTGTGTGTTACTGTACTATTAAATAGTTTTCTGCCAACAGTAAATTAGCTTTTCAAAGAGATACATGCAAAGCATTACTAGCTATTTATTTCCACAAGTTCTATCCTGAACTATAGTAGTATAGAAGCAGGAAAGGGAAGTTTGACTTTGCCCGCAGATTATTTAAAAGATAGCAGCTTTGGCTTGTAATTAATTCTTCAGCCGTAAAATACTCCTGTAATTAATCTACCAAAATGCAAAAGTTATAAAAACAAGTAGGATGTGTAGATATCAGTGCTTAAATCTGTATTTTGAAAATGCTAGACATCCCGTCAGTCTGGTAGACTGCCTTCAAGGTTATGTAACCAAAATTTCTAAAATATATGCTGAAAATCTAACTGAGGGAGATTGTAAGTAATATGATGTGTTATTCTACTGCAAGCCACTGGAGAGAGTGAAGGTGGAAGTGATGTGCTGGGAAAGGTTATGTGTACTGATAAGTCTAGCTGCAAGACTCTGAGTAGGTTAAAAGTTCTTTGGGAAAGCTATGAAGAGGAAATATCAGTAGCCAATCCAGGAAATAATGCAAACATTTGTCTACAATTCAATGCCTTTGTCTCTCTTCTCCCACTAACATACAGTCTTATCCTGGCAGTATTCTATGTCATAAAATAAAATGTCTTTATATGAAATCAGATTATCATTATTAGAAAAAAAATTACCATAAATTTGGGGCCAGCAGATGTATACATCATAGCATTATTTTATGAGTTATAAAGTGAAGTTCTGCAGAAAGAATTTGATTATCATTATTGATTATTTTTTTAACCATAAATCTGAAGCCAACCAGTAGATATTTGTTTTAATGGTATTTCATATGATAAAATGTCATTATAACAAATGACTGTTACAGAGATTTGGTAGGAAGATGTAGACCTTGATGACATCATAATTATAGTGAAAAGAACTAGAACAAAGAGGCAAAATATAAATGCCAAAAAAAACAAATACAGGAAGAAAACACCATTGCAAGTCAGTGTCTTAGTGTGTCATATTTATTTGCCTATGGAAATACATTTTGTAGTAGAAGGCAAATAAGAAATTCAGTGCTGGTTTATCTGGCAGTAGGTGATCAAAGTGTTCAGTGCCAGAAGATCCAGTTGAGTTCAGAGAAGAGGAGAACAATATCCTCCAACAAAATATATTTTCCTAAAGATTTAGTTGTTGTGATAAGAGTGAAAGGTCAGATAGATGTTTTTTGATGTGATTCAGCTATTATTAAATAGGCTACTTCTATGCACTTCTGCCTAAGACACTGAACAAAACAGTAGAGGATAATGGTAATGCTCTCTCAAGTGAAAGATAGTGAGGAGTGTTGACATACAGAATTTTTTCTAACTCAAAACAAAATTTGGGGAAAAAATGGGGAGAAGAGATAGATTTGGACACTGTAGTAATTTAAAAAGTGAGTGTGGCATACATGCGTTATAGGCTTTACACCAATAACTTGAAATCAGTACTGAAGTATATATTGCATCTTGAGGTGAAGTGGTGTGACCACAAACTGAGAATTCAGATGAGGGGTATATCTCTAAAGAGGAGCATAAACATGTATACCTCTTTTAAGCTCATTTTCCTAGATTAAGAAAGTAGTACAATTTTGAAGAAATTATGAATTTCTTGTGTCATCTTCTGTGAAAATGGGTACTGCTTGGCTTCAGTAACACAATATATGTGGATGCAGTTTTCATCGTTTCAGGGTCTTTCCAGTTTTTTCAGGGTGTGTCATTTCAGTCTTAAGAAGTGAGTGTCTGACTATTATATATTCCCCTGTTTCATCTATCTCATTTAACATACAAATAGGATAGGAGAAAATGTCATACGGAAAAACTCTGTTGCACATCTTGGCTCATTTCTTGTCATCAGTTCTACTTAGGGTTTATCAAATTAGAAGAAAGTGTAATCCAGTTATCGTACTGAGTACAAGGCAAGTTTCTTCCTGACTCTCATACATAATTAGTCTATTCCAAAGGACTTCATTTGATTTCTTTTTTTGTGACTGTCTTATCTATTCTATTGTCAATTTTGTATGGTAAGAAACACTGTTATCTGGGTTATTAAATCAAACTACTGTTTGGAACATCTCCAGCAAGTATTAGAGTAAATGGTAGACAGTATATAATAAAATAACTTTTTTTTTTTTTTCTCTGAAACTGTAAAATGGGAAACTAATTTTTTTTTTTTTTTTTTCCCAGAGAACAAAACATTAAACTGGTGATTAAACAATGATTAGGAAAAAAAAAATTTAAAGATACAAGGTTTTAGAAATGTTGAATATGGTGTTGGAAACCATCTTCTTTACAAGTCTTATTGTTACTTCTGCCTTTAATATTTGCAGTTGTTCTAGAGAATAAACAGAATCACAGTTAAAAATTCTATCATGCAAAAGCTTTCTCTCACTGTAGCAGCACAAACCTATTAATTTCATGTCAGTCTATCAGCCAGTTCAAGAAGATCATATCCTCATCTCAGATGACTTCTCTCAGACTAAAAAAAAATGCATCCACTACCCTCAATGCTTGCAAATGCTTCCTACTGAAAGTGAAAGCTGTTGGTATTGTCACTTTCAAAGGAAATACAAGAGAGCAGCAATCCCAATTTGCATACTTTTTCAATACAGCTTTTAAAAAAGTAGAATAACAGTAACTTGTGAATCTAGAAATTGGAGAAGAAACAGATGATTGGGCATGGCCTTAATATCTTCCATCTTTTCTGATGATGACAGATCTGCTAAGAATAATCCTCTTTATAAAAGGATATATTACCTCTTCTTATTCTCTGAAAGGGGGGAAAGCAAAGATATCTCTTCAAAGGAAAAAGTGAAGCAGTCCTTTCAGAACAGATTGTTTGACATAACAATACAGGACGTGAATGTGTTAGTATGTAAAATGTTGGATTTTTCATCTTCTGTCTCAAGGTCTTTTAAAAAGAAAAGAAAGTCAAGATAACCTTTTGACAGAGAATGAAAAGGATGAAAAAGCTTTACCTTTTCATGACAGAACTGACTGTTCAAACCATATAGGATTATCTAGGTTTTTCAAGTGATTCTTAAGTCTGTATACTATTTATTTGAAATCCCCAAATCCAATTACTAGCTCTCATAAAACTGAGTATTGCGTCGACAGATTATTTCTACAATAACAGTTTTCAGCATAACCTGTTTAAAAAAAAAGCTATGATAAGAGTGAATAGCACATTGGAATAATAGTAGTAGTAGTAATAATAATAATAGTAATAATAATATTCAAGGGAAATGAATCTATGCGGAGAGTTATAAGCGTACCTGTCTGTTTATGATTTTCTTCCATGGATTGTTAGCTTTGTCTATAGCCTTAAATACATAGCAAGGAATAAAACACTCTTGGACCTCACTCAGTTCTTTCATCAAATAGCATGCATTTAAAAAAAAACAACTGAAAGCTGTATAGATTTTTGCCTAGGGCTCTTTTGTTTATAGTGACAATGGTGATGGAGATTTAAGAACTGTTATGTACTCCAGAAGATGCCTGCAAATGTGGAAGATACACTGTTACAAGGAAATATCCCTGTTCTTCCAAAAAACAAAATGTCAGAAGTAAAGGAGGGGCAGTGTCAGCACTCAAGTCCCAGCTCTGGAACCATTTATCTTCATCCTTCGAGAGCAGTTCCTTCCTCAAGGCCAAGACAGGACTTGTGTTCAGTTTCTTTTGGGTGCTGTTAATGTGGCTGAGCCTTCCTTGTGATTCACTGGTGCACTGGAAGCAGTGCTGCTCCCCTCATGCTGCTGTGGACAAATGTCTTTCCCCTTGTACCACTCTGGTGCTGCCTTGACCATTCCACAGAAAACTGTATCAGCAAACCCCCTCAAAACCTGGCTTACTGAGCTGAGCTGGCTCACCACATAGCCAGGTGGACAGCAGAGACAGTGTAAGCAGGGACTGAAGAGAGGGAATGGGGGAGGGAGATCTGCCCTTTTGCTGGCAGTATGTTTCATTTGTCTCATCCAACCATATTCTTACTGGGACTAAGGACAGTAAGAAGGTCACAGTGGGGCTGTATCTGCTTTTGGATTTGTGATGTCAGCAAATTCGTTTGCAAATTCAACCTCAGAATGGTGAAATTCACCTCTGTTATCACTAAGTCTATGAGGTTGCTTTGCCAGACTTCTCTTTCCATGGATTTATAAAGACAAATTTGAAGAAGTACCTCATTTCTGCTAAATAAGATTATTACTGAGGTTTGGCCTCACTTCTGCACCAGAGCAGTGGTTAATTTAAGAAAGGTGTAAGGTTTTTGTCCTCCTATGCCTCGATAATTGACTAGTAAGTAAATTTTAAGAGGAGCAAAATTTAGGTGCCCCTGGTATATAGGGGCAGTAGAAAAATTAATTCTTAGAAAGGCACTCTAACCTGTTTTTTGATTGGCTCGATCTCCTCATTGTCACTAGAAATTGGGAAAAGAAAATAATTTTCTGTACTTTATTATTTGAGAACATTTCCCTCAAAACACAAATGCCTTTAGAGGTCTAACTTGTTTCATGAAAAAGGCATTGCATGTTTCAAGCTAGGATAAAAGATAATATGAATAAACTCCAACTTCACTCAAAATAATTATGTTAATCAGATAAAGCCATATAGTTTGACAATGACATGATCTGCCAGTTTCCAAAGAAATGTTAAGATAAATGCAATACTTTTAAACAGAATTTATGGAATAAGCCAATTACTAAATGAGAAAGCCATTAACTAAAATGAAGATAAGACTTTGGTTTGCTTAGAGAAGGCTCCTGTCTTTCAGGAGTAGTTTCTTGATTCTTATGCAAAACATCTAAATGTTACAGAAAATTTCTTTCTTTTTGTTTTGAAGATCCTCACAAGGTGTTGCTTTCTGGCACTGAAATTTCCAGCAGAGGGAGCTTTACTGTTACATTTAGTAAAAAAAAAAAAAAACAAACCCACAACCAAAAAAACCAGCTTTACTGAATATTTTTCATCTACGATCTGAAAAAGTGTGAGATCGTTGGGGTATTTTATGGTGTGAATTCATGACATCTTAATATGGAACAATTTAGATGGGGCAGAAAGGGCAAATCCTTTTCCTAGAAAGAACATTTCCATACGTAGTGTTAGCATTTCATCATGGTTCCTTTGAAATCGGAAAGTTGAATAGAAGTTAGTAAGCGTGCTATGGTAGTAATGTGGAATGTGGTCTGTTCTCTGCTTTCTTTTTCCCTGGTAGTAGTGAAGGATTAGTTTGGGTGAATGGTAATGTAATTTGCTTGTAATATCTCCAGTTTGTGGCTGATCTGAGAATTTGGTCACACAGTATAAACTACTTTTGTGGCACTGAAACTTTGCTATTCCAGTGACCCTGTTTCCTTGACACAAAGAAGTGCTAAAAAATCAAAGGTTCTCCATCGACTGTTGTTCCATCACATTCAGCTGTGGATACCCATTCCTCTCTTGCTTTTGAAGGTGATGAGATTTTTGACCTGATTTCATCTGTGCAGCAGGCACAGGCATGCTCTGCATCATGTTCATGACAATGATGTAACGATATATTGCTCCCGAGTCTCAGTTCTTTTTGCGTGACACAGAATATTTTTTGCCCTTCTCAAATTTTTCTCAGGTTTTAATAACAGTTTTTTCAAGTTTTAATTAGTACTTCTCTAGCTTTTCCTTTGTTGCCTGCATGCAGAAGAAAAAGGGGCAGAGAATTAAATTCCAGGAAAACTTCTCCTTTTCCCTAAAAACCTTAGTCTTTGAATTTCCCTTTTCAAGCATGATCTCATTAAGATTTCCAAGCTTCAGAGTCTTCCCCTGTTGTGATGGAGTGCCAGGGGTGAACACACCAAGAATCTTTATTGCTTTGGAGAAGGTCTCATTCTTTTTCCTGGCACAGACAGTCCAGTAAATGGGCAAAATATAAACGTGGAAAGATGATTATTCTTTCACAAGATAACACAACAATAGCATTTGATCTGGTAGCTGAACAGAATGCTGAAACGTACTGTTTTTATTCCAATCTCTTGTTATACACAAATAAGTATTGGTTTTAAAAGGTCTAGTCTATTAAATTTAGGGTCATACAGTGTACGTGCAGGTAACCAGAAATTAAGATGAGACTATTCTACTTGAAAATGCGCATACATTTAAACACTGTGGTCTTGAATTAATTACAGTATGTAAACTCCCATAAATTTTTTTGTTAGCTGCTATTTTGTGTACATGTGCTCAGAGGATCATTTTGAAGTTATGTTAGAAAATATATTGCATATTGAAATATTCAAAATTATTTTCTGTATATATTTTAGTGCTTTATTGCCTGTTTTTTATTTTGTTCTTAATTGATAAATTTGAATTATTAGTTGGTAGATTTTTTAATTGATAAAAAATTGCTTTTTTGATGCTGGTTTCATTTGACTTTCACTTCGCTAATAGAGTGCAGGTTAGAATGTACATATATCAGCATATTTATTGTTAACTTTGCCTGTACATTTTCAGACACAGATGTGTATACTTTTGGACTTGGACAAGATGGGCAGCTGGGACATGGTACTTTTATTTTTGAAACTCCAGTACCAAAGTCTGTGAAACACTTGAACAGGCATAAAATATGTAACATTACATGCGGGGAAAGTCATACTGCTGCAATTGCAGGTATGTAAGTGAAAAATTCTGAAATGCATTTCCAGTGACTGTCATACAGTTAAAGCTTTCTTTATAAAATGAGCAGTAGAAAAAGACATATAAAGGCTTACTAGTTCTAAAGGTTAAGTGAGCTCATGAGAAAGACAGATTTGATATCAGAAATTTCTGATTCACAGGCATGCCATGCGTAGTTCTGTACATGGTATTTCCTGGGGAATTGTAACCGCATAATCATGCCTTGCTAACAAGTATTCTTGTTCAGAAGCCTTTGTTTTGCTGTACAATTTCACTCTTAGTGTTTTGTAGTTGGGTTTTTTTTGCAAAATTGTCTAGAGTAACTCCCAATCTCCAACAGTACTTTGTCTGAAAATATATATATTTTTGGATCAGATTAATCTGTTGAAAGTCTGAAAATAATAGTTCAGGTTTTGCTTTTGGAAGAGAAATATTCCTTGCTTGCATGTCTTGTTACTTTGTTCATAATGGTTTTGTCCTGGTTTTGTACCGAATCTTTGTTATTAATAGCATCATTTTTTTTTCTGCATACAGAGAACGGTCTCATGTTTACTTTTGGAAATGGGCGACATGGCAAGTTAGGACTTGGAGACGAGAATTTTACAAATCAGTTTGATCCCACTCCGTGTTATAATTTCTTGAGGTTCACAGTCCTTTTGGTAAAACTTTTGTTCACGCTTCTTAGACATCAAAACTTTTATATTTTTATGAAACATGTTATGAAATCTCATTATGGAATTTTTTCTTTGTACAATATTTAATTAGTAGACAACACAAATTGAAAGAAAAAGGAAATTATATTTCACAATGTTCATTTAGTTTAGAATGTACTTGGCTTGGACTACATGTAGACTTCTTTTTAGGGTTTTATTCAGTAGTGTTGTGGTATAGTGTTTTGGTCTATAGAGTTGGTGGTAGCCTATAAAATTAAATATTTGTTACTCTTAGATTGTTGGCAGTAGGGGGGAAAATATCTGTTTTGAAAGACAGTAGAGTGACATCTTTTTAACAGTTATTTGTACAATGGGATATTTATTACATCTAAAGAAAATTTGAGGAGGTGCTTTTTTGAATCCAAGTGGGATGAGAAGGGAGAAATACTCTTTTCCTTTAAGGGTGTTGTTTTCATCTCTTTCTTGAGATGTTTAAGAAATAAATATCACAGAATTGCCAGAATCAAAGATGCAAACATGACTCAGGACTGAGCAAAATTTGGGACAAGAAAATGGGTCTCACTTCTGTTTGTTTGCTGGACTTAGAGTTTAAGGAAGTTTATCAGTGGTGGTAAGGGATTTAAACTTCTTAGAAAGTGAAACCTTTGATCTTTATGTAACTGTATTTCATCTATTGGAGGGTATAGGACTTTGCATTACATTTTGTGGATTTTATGAAAAAAATATCTAGGTATCACTGAGGTTATAAGTATTGCCCACATTTGACTTGCATCAAAATAATTAGCTCCAATCCCTTCAAAATCAGTGGAAATACCTTTCCTTTCTTCTGTATCAATAATCTAATACACCTGTCTTGCATTCTGTTCAATACATATTGTATTTAAGTAAGAAAAAATTAACACAGATCAGTAGTCATTAATAATTGTAATTATGTACTTTTATCTTGCTAATTCAGTATTCATTATTAATGCTAACATCATTAGGAGCTAAATATGAAGCAATTTAACATCTCTTCTATTTTGTTTTTCTTATAATCTAAGTTCCTGGAAATTATTGTGTTGATACCTGCAAATGAAATAAGCTGACTTTTTTTGGTGCTGTAGGTTGCTTGTGGTGGTTGTCACATGCTAGTTTTTGCTGCTCCAAGACCTAAAGCATCTGAAGAAATACTCTTGGAAGATTTAGATGAGAGCCGTTTGACTGCTACCATCTCTAAAATGAGTGGAGATTCACTCCTAACAAACACCTTAGAACTAACATCAGCACGAATCCGACGTCAAGAGAGGGTAAATTCAGAGCTGTTTAGAGTTGCCATACTAATTTTAGGAAACAAAATAACTTTTTAAACTAAAATCACAGCATATACCCAGCAGATAAATATATCTCCTTAAATTAAATGTTAAATTTTAATGTATAAAGGGAAGAATTAATATCTGCCCTGGTCCCAAAATAAATGCAGGTAAAAGATAGGTATTGGTCAGATGTTGCTTATTTCTGTGAAAAAGACTAAAATTAATTTTGTATTTTTTTTACTCTAAGATGTAGAGCCTGTTCCTTTTAATTTTTAAAAAGATCTTAGAAATATTAAAAAAAGAACAAGAACCTGGCTCTTTTTGGTGTTCCCTCTGAGTCCTTGAATAGATTAAACAAGTTCATAGTTTATAAAATATCAAAGGGCAAAGTTTCACAATCAGCTTAAAATGATCTTAACATCCTGTAGCTACTTAAAATAGTAGTTTCTTCTCCTTTATCTTCACTACACATTCCATGTGATTTCTTTAGCAGCACAATGAATTGGATCATTTCACCTACCTGTCTGAAAACTAACTCTTCCACAAAACCACATTGATTTCGTAAAAATATATTGATGCTGTGGATTAAATAACTCAGTGTTATTTGAGAAACTAGTATTTCATTTTAAATTAAATTTTAAAATCCTTTGTCTATACTTTAATACTGCTTGAGATTATCATGTAGAAATGACATGAAATATTCCACTGTATCTCTCCCAATGTATATTTTTATAAATAATTAAAGTATTCAAGAAATCTTGTTTATGCTTTGCATACAAAGTTACAACACTGTATCATCAGCTAAAGGAAAATATGACTGTTAAGTGTGAGAGATTGCTTAAATTTTGGTTTTCTATTGTTATTCTCAATACATTTTTTCTTAATCTTCTAAAGGAAAAGTCACCAGAACGGTTTATTCAAATTGCACAAAATCTGCCTCCAATGGGAGAAAGCTGCTTAGAATCTTCATTCCCTGTGACTAGCAATGCTAGCCCAGTCTGTTTGTCTGCAGCAAGTCTTCCTAAATCTGAACCTATGAAGGATAGAGACCATGAAAAAGGTGAAGTGTCCCCACATTTTGTTGCTGTTTTCTGAGAATTATGTAGTTTGGCTCTCATAATTCATAAACAAATGTGCAGCTTGAACATGAAAGAAGGTTTAAGTTCAGTCTTACCTCAAAAGGGTCTGGCAGGATACAGACATGAAAGTTGAGAAATGCATACAAGAAGTTGCCTCACGCTTGGTTCATGTTTAGAAAACACACTTAAAGATTTAGAGGAGGATTGAGTGAAAGAAATACAACCTCTGAACGGTACATGAGGTTCCTCAAGCCTGTAGAAATATGACTTCACAAAACATACTGTAACATTAGTAAACACTTTCTCCATTTTAATTAAAAAAAAAAATTACAGAAAAAAATTGTTTAGGAACAGTTGTAAAGACACAGAAAGGCCTACAAGAAACCTTGGATAAGAAAAGAGGTCTACTCATTCTTCTAGGAGCTTTCTTCTTCACTTAGAAATGCAAATTGGCTCTGGATTCTCTGCTATCTAAGGTAATAAGGATTTGCAATATTCTATCTAATACAAAAGCCTGGATAACAGTGATATTGATAGTGCTGGGCTTTTGCACAGATTCTCTAGAGCAGTTCTGGACTTCATTTGGGTTTCTGTGCATGTGTGATTTCCTGCACGGAGCAACAGTGAAGAGTGCAGAATGCAGTGCTTCTGTGTAAAAGTTAGCTCAGATTTATTGGACAGTCAAATCCAATTTGAAAGTAATTAATTCAGTTAGAATTAAGATTATTATTTGTAAAGCTGCTGGCATGTCCATTAGCATCTCTGCTTCCAGGAAAGCAATACAGTGAAATTTGAAATGCCGTTAGAGTCTTCTGAGGCCTAAAACCTCAGGTTTTGTGCCACATGAAACTGGTCATGTACCTGATAAACTTGAGGTGAACCTGAAAACTATGTAGGTACATTTTTATGATGCTGCATTGGAGTTAAACTCACTGTCTGTCCATTACACACTGTGTAATGTAGATAATATGACTGCAGCTAATTTAGTCTAATTGGTACACAGAGATTGTCCAAAATAAGCTTTGTCCCATGTAATATTTATGCTTTGAAAGCCTGCAAAAATGGTGAGAGGTCTACAGCATACTGAGGCCAGATTGCTGAGCTACCTCTCATGTTAATACTGATGAAATGACGGTGGAAGTCTTTCTTCTGTGTCTTGGGCTGGGGGAATGAGGAATCTCAGGACTTCAGTCCTATGTTGGTAAAATAGAGATAATCTCTATTTTGCAAGAGTGGGGTGTTCTGTTTGCTGTATATTGCTTGTTCCTGTGGTATTTGTTTACTTCCCCCTATTTTATCTTAAAGAAAAGAATAATCAAAATTATAAACGTGGTGAAGACTCTTCAGAAGATTCAGACAATGAAAATAATGATCGAAACCTTGGAGATACAACTGACATCCTAAATATGGTAATATATTCCACTAATGAATCAGTGATTCAATCATTTTTATGCAGGGGAAGAACAAAGAAGCTAAATAATGTTTCTAGTACAGAACTCCTGGCTAGCCCAAAACGTCATATGTGGCATCAGGAAGTACTGACATACTTTTAAATGAGCATGCATTTCATGTCATCATTTTCCAATGATAGAGTTTCTTTTCATCTTCCAAGTAATGTTGTAGTATGAAATTGAAGCAGTCCAAGTAGTGCAGCCCCTCACCATGCTTCAGCTCGGGATATCAGAAGGAAAAGAAAGATGTTGCATACCACATGGTGATCTCTATCTCTGACCTTCCTCATCTTGATAATTTCCAAGAGAGAGAATTGCAGGAAATGAAGCAGAGAGCTGTCTTTTCCTGTTCCTAGAAGAACTTTTTTAGTACAGGTGGATCATATTAAAAGGAAGATCAGAATGCAGATATTTTGATTATTTGGTGATCACCAAACATGTTCCTACATATTTCTTTTATTTTAAAAATATATTCACCTTATCTCTTCTGCACTTTTCCAAAACAATTTGTTTTCTCAGCAGATAGGGCATGCCCCGGCTTTAATGTAGTGCAATGGAAAGAGGGT